CGGCCGCCAGCCGCGGCCTGAGGGGAGAACCCGCCCTTCTCTAGCCCCTCCGCCGCGGTCAGCGCCGCGCTGAGCTCGCGGCGGCCTGTAGTACCCTCAGCTGCTAGGTGCTTGTCGGCCTCGAAAGCCATCCGTTTCGTACTACCTTTACTCCTTAAACTTTATATATTTGTAGGGTTTTGGCGTGTGCGGGGCTCGGGTGTGGAGCGGCCGTTGTGGCAATGCAGCGTGCCCCGTTTGTGTAGGGTCACCGCGGTTTATTGGGTAGTTCCTCGGGCTGGGCCAGCCGGTGAAGGCAGAATGTTCCGGGCTTTGGTGGTAGTGGGACAAAATGGCGGTGGGCTCAGCTCCGCTCGTCATCACTCGGCTGGTTTTTGTACTGATACCCGGGATCCGTTTCCTGCGGTGTCAGGCTGAAGCCATAGATTGTTAATCCAAATAGTCAAGTAGATTGGGAGTGCATCTCTGATCTAATGTCTCTTTCAGGAGAGAATCTGTTGAAGTGATGCGGTTTGTCTTTTTTGGCAGGAATGTCGCTGGGTGACTTGAAATAAAGTACTTGTTAGAGCGGAGCCATCACTGGTAGTTGTTGAAATGGATAGACACACTAATCAGGCTGCAGCCTTTTAAAAAACAGACATAATAGAGAAATGATGACAGACTCTTCATAATTCTCCAACAGTAGATAAAAGGATCAGAAAGTAACTCTGCTGATTAAATTGTTCAAAATCGATACGAGAATAATTGTACAAGGAAATAAAAAATTTTGTTTGATAACAGGTGTTTATGAGGGAGATCAGGTACAGACCGCTCTTTTTCATAAAACCAATTTATTATTGGTAAAAAATTAATCCAAGTTCACATTCCTTTTCTCTAACTGCGTTTCTGCAGCGCTGAATGTCTTGTGGACTGTTTCATCCTTGGACTCCCTCTTCAGACTAACAAGGAGGTGTCAGTATTGACTGCAGTGCTGTATTAAAAGTTATGCCTGTGAATTATTGTGTTGGGCACACAGACCACCAAAAATGTATTAAGTAACAGCTGACCTGAGTTTCTACATGTCTTGAACAGACGTGAACCAGGAAAATGGCATTCAGATATCAGAGTTCATAGGTTCGCATTTGAAAGAGATTGGTAGATTTAACCTAAGAAGTGGCAGGTACAGCCAGACAGCCACCTCCAACTGTGTTACAGGCTGAAGATCATTCCCTTAGAGTGCAGCCAGAGATCTGGGAGGTTCAGTCCAGCTTACAGCTTTCCTCTGTTAACTCAGGTAATTTGTGTTTCTATGAGTCCGTATCTGTAGTGAGGTATTGTCTTTTACCATATGTAATAACTAATTTTATAACATTAAAAGAGCATTAATGGGTTTCCTTTTTGTGTAGGAGTGAGGATAAAAATCTTAGAAGTGTAAAATATATGGTTACTAATGGGAACTATGTAAGTTTCTACAATAGATAGCCCAGCTGCAAAATAAAAATAATAAAAACCAATAATCATACTAGAGTGCTAGTATTTCTTTTATGTGATAGGCAGACTAAAATGAGAATGAAATTCAGGAAGAAAGAAATGACAATGGAAAAGCCAATCGCTGTCATGCAGACTAACATTTTCCTGTATTAACATTTGTTACAGCTACTGCAGTACCCAAGAAATACCGGGACAGGTGCAAACAGTGTTCTGCCTTTCATTTTTCTTGCCATTTAGAAGCTGCTTCCCAGTGTGATGAAATGAGATTCCAGGAAACAGGTCCTCCTTTCCCTCTTTGGTGGGAAAGGCAGTCTCCCAAAAGTTCCAGGCGGAACGAGGTAAGCTGAACGGAAGCAAGGGGTGAATTTGGATCTGAAGATTTTAGGCCTGCTGTGGAAAGAAAGATGGTGATGGCAGCAGACACAGAGCAAAGAATAGTAAAAGGAGGTGTAGATGGAAAGAGGGAATCAGCCATGTAAGTGGTTGAAAATGAGATGACAGAGGAGGGGTAGAAATTTGATTTCACAACTGCTGATGCTAATTGAAGAACACAAACCAGAAAGTATTTCATTTGGGGTTTTTTACGTGCCGGCCTTAATGACTGCTATGAATTACAAGACACAGCACTGATTATCGCCACTTGGCGGCAGCAAACAATATAAAAAACTTGCTTAAAAAAAATCTGAGGGGCAGTGAAAGCTATCGGATTGAGCTAATGTCTGCAGGCCTCTCTACATATTTCTAGGTGTATCTGTGTTAACGATTGTTTATGCCACAGGGTTTCTTCTTTTGTTCCTGTGATGTTTGAGTTAGTGTTTTATATGTCTTATGACCCCTTGGATACTACTTTGACAATCCTCTGCTCCTAAATCATGCATTGTACCAACAGATTTATTTTGTTAGATATGACTTCTCCTGAAACAGCAATCAGAAGTGTAGTCTGTTTTTCATGCTGAAGGTGTTGCTGTGTGGTACTGTTAGTACTGTGAGTCATGCATTATAACATTTGCAAAAGGTTTATTATGGGTAAGCATAAAAATGGTTATTGTGCAGTAAGGGCCACAAATGAAAGAATATAATAAAAAAAATAATGAAAATCATTACTGCAGCTGCTGATTGTAAAAAGCAAAAGGGAAAAACCTTGCTTCTGTAGCAACTATAGCTTGTAGGTGGTTTTGTATTTTGTGGATTTAATTGGAAACTTGATGCTGTAAGATTATTTTTTTTTATTGTTATCTGTTTAATGCATACCCATTCTAACCTATGAGGGCAGGTTTGTCAGTGCATGTTTTCATTCTTGCTCTATCTGCTTCTGTAAGTACATGTATATTTGAACCTAGCATTCTAGAAATCTTTGTCCGTTGTGTGTAACTCAGTATTTTTCATCTGCATCTTTCCAGAATTAATAATGTACTTACAGCATGAAGGTGCAGTGTAGAACAGGACCTGTTCTTGGTTCTGCCACGTTGTACAAGATTGTATCTACTGTTTTGTCCACTGACATGGAAATTCTATCACTTCTTAATTGACTTTGTGTCTTGCATAATTTAATAATTAGAATGTTTTGTGATCTTAGAAAAAAGTTCTCATAGAAATGCAAAGAATAGTCTTTATCATCATCAGCCTTGACTCGATTTGAGCCAGTGGTCAAGGGATTAGAGCTTTTGGAAGCTAGAATGCTTCTACAGATTATATTTAGGGATTTCCTTGTAAATGGAGTGCCAGCATGTGTAGTTATCTATTCCCTGTAGAGTCTCATCAAGCTGCACACGCTTAATCTTTACTTACATGGTCCCGTATTCTTGCTGTAATGTGGGCCTCAGTTTTAACTTTTGCTCTCAGGAAGAAGGGGCTATTATAACAAATTCTAATCCTTTCGCAATTCCACAATCACTAAAGCCTATAAATCGCCTGCCAAACAAACCAAGTGATCTTTTCCTGGGCTGAGGGAACGAGGAGAGAGTAAAACGCATTACGCAGGTGCCAGCATTTGCTGGGGAAGAACTGGTACATTATCAACTAATCCGCCTTCTGCTATTTCTGATTTCCTACCCAACAGCTGCAACATTGAATGAGAGCTTCTGCATTTGGGAAGAATTAGAAAGCCTGATAATGCAGGGTCTCTATTACAGATACAACAACTCACAGACAGGGAGGAGATTTTTGCTGCCGGTGTAGAATTTGGAGTGCTAGGCATTTTATAGCCTGGAAAAATTGTAATTTTCAGCTGTTGTTATGGAGTAATCAATGAAGAAGAGATGCCATAGTTTCTGCTAGGTTTCTCTCAGAGCCTGATATAATTGCATGCATGAGCTATTATTCTTTCGAATGTACCGCTTTGAGGCTAAAGCATATGCAGTTTTTATTAAAACTTTTTTTTTATGGTGACTGATGCTCACAGATAGTTTTAGTCCTTCTGAAATATCTTTGATTCTGTAGCAATAGCTCCTGTATCAGATAAAAACATTCAGAATAAATTGTGCCTTGCTAGAAAATTGAAACATTATTATGTTTTAATTATTTTATCTAATCAGTGCTTGGTTTAGGAGTATACGTTGATAATTTTTTGTCCTTGTCAAATAGTCTGTGACTTCACTCAAGGATCAGCGTGTCCATTCTGCTAAATGACATAAAGGAAAATGTCTCCAAAGATACCACAGGAGACGAGTGTGTAGTAGAGCATCAGTGAAAGCTTCTGTAGCAAATGGACTTACGGCCTATCTCCTCTACAGCTCAGTGGCAGCAAATGTAGCACTGGAAAGAGTAACTCAATCATATTGGCTCACTCGGTATAGTGCTAATCACTGTCTGTAGTGAAATGGGAAAGTGACTATTTTCATCAACATGATGCATTACAGTTCAAGCCACAAAATTATGAAAGCTGTGTAAGACTTCCTTTAGCATAGTTAGGAGAATATAGATGACATGCAGTTTCAATTTGAGAAGTGCAGGCTCATTGCTGTTCCCAGAGCAAGTCAGCTGAGTGGAGACAGTTTCGTAGGCTCTCCCTAATTTTAGTTGTAGGTGACATAGTCTTTTCAATGAAAAGTCATTGCCTTTGAAACCTGCTTCCTCTGGTAGCTTACCAGAACCTGAATTTGTTAATGTGCAGAGTCCAGTGCACAACTCACCTTTTAAATTCAGCCTTCCCTTTTCAAGTACAATGACAGATCAGTACCTGTGTGGCTGTATATAGAAAATCAAGCCTTGTGACATTTATATGCCAAGATGGGAAGACCTAAAAAGAGGACTAGGGAGACTGGCATGGCATTTGTGGGCACCAGGTTGCCAAGGAGGCATATTGTATTGAAACAGTTGCCTGGGAAACATTTAAAAATACATTGAATGGAAAAGCATATGTGATGTGCCCACAAGTGTTCTGTGTGAATGAAATGCCATGGCTGATGATGGCACCAAGAGACTGTTACTATTATATGTAAAGATGCTGCAAGTGATGGTTATTTTCTTTTGTGTTTTGTTTTTTTTTTTTTCTTCCCATACCCTATTTGTAGGAGGTGCGCCGAAGGAATATTGTTTTGCTCTTGGCTGATGGATTAAAGTAAATGTAGAGAAAGCAGTACATGCAGTCAGCAGCAGCAGCAGCTGGAGATGGTAAGAGTAATTTAGCTTCGTTTAGGCAATCTAAACCAAATTGACAAGA